GTCGGGGGGGGGGGGGGGGGGGGGGAGGCGCTGAGGCGACGGCCCTACCCTCAGCGCAGGCCCATGCCCCTAGCATGGTGGACCTAGGGCAGCCCGACGCCTCCCCCCTCCCCCCCCCCGACTGACACTGGCTTCCGGGACTCAGGGTTCCGAGTGGGCAGAGCGAGAAGCCCCCGAGGGGACACCTTGGGCCTGATGGTATGCCCAAAGTGTCCAAAAGGACCATTGTGGGGGTCCCTGAGCAGGATCCTGCCCCTCATGGTGCCATTGGCTAGCAACATCCACGTCTTGGTCATGGACGTGGTAGCCACTTTTCTGCTTGGGATGACCTCGAGTTGGGGCAGGATGGCCACGGTGGAGCCAATCGCTCATGCTGGGTCGCACTGTCCCGCATGGTCACCCCGCACTGCGGAGATGGGGTTCGGCGCCACTGTCTTGAGCGGTACCGCGACCTGGATCGGGACCGACGGTCGTATCAGTGCCGGGAGGCAGATCTGGATCTTGATGAAGATCTACGGGCGGAGCGGTGCCAGGATCAACTCAGAGTAGATGGGCGCCGGGATTGGTGCCGGGAGCTGGACCGGTACCGACCGTAATGGGAAGATGATCTTCGCGAGGCAGAGCGGCGCCACAAGTGCGACCGGCGCCGAGATGGTGATCGGTGCTGGGACTGCGAGCAGTGCAGTGGACGAGACCAGTGTCTGGATCAGGACCAGGACAGGGACTGGGAACCGGATCGGTGCCGTCCCGTCTCACTCTGCGACGGAGGGTACATCATGGAGGCTTTCCTTTCGAGGGAACAGCCTGCACCGGCAGCACCGAAGGTTTCAACAGTCCCGGCGCGGTGAGCGCAATCAGATCGCATGCCGTGGAGAAAGTCTTCGGGGTGGAAGGTAGGCCGAGCTCAACCGCGGTACACAATGGGGAGCTTACGTGCACCGGACTCAACGGCGCTTGTGGTGCCAGAATCAACGGTGCCAGAGTTGGAGCCTTCGCGAGGCAGTCCAGCACGGGACACTGCTCCGAGCAAGGCACAGGCCGTGCCGGCAACTTCACAGGAGTGCTTGTGCTGCTTCTTGGGTCCCAGAGACAGCAAGCGATGCCGCACTGGTGGTGTTGGAGACATCCAGTGCCGGGCCACGGAGCTGTTGCTTCCGGTGCCAGAGGCGCGCTTCGGACCAATGGGGTCAGCACCGGGTCTCGACGTGGAGCCGAGGACATTGGGCTAAGTGCCACTTCCATAAGGAGCTGCTTCAAGCGAATGTCCCACTCCTTTTTAGTCCAAGGCTTGAATGCCTTACAAATACGGCACTTATCTGATTGATGGGATTCCCCCAGGCACTTCAAACAGGAGTCATGGGGGTTTCCCTTAGGCACTGGCTTAAGGCAGGCCAAGCACGGTTTGAAACCCGGAGACCTAGGCATGAGCCCAGGTACTGGGAGGGAGGAAAGGGGAGACGCCTCTTACCCCCAAATTGCTATGTACACTAACAACAATAACTACAACTAGAAACTACTAACAACTACTCTATAAAAACTATCTACAAGTATAAACGAGCTAAGAGCTAGGGAAGTGGAGATCAGCTAAGCTGCGCTCCACAGTTCCAACTACCGTCATGGGCAGTAAGAAGGAACTGAGGGGGCGCTGGGTCGGCCAGGGCATATATCCGGCGCCATAAGGGCGCCATTCCAGGGGGCGCCTCAGCCAACTCACTGAGTGTTGCTAGGGTAAAAATCTTCCGACAATCGTGCACACGGCGCGCGCACACCTAATTGGAATCGATATGAACAAGCATTTGAAGAACTTTAAAATTCTACCACCCATAGAAAGCCGGTACAGACCAGCTTCAGTTTCCACGCTGATTTAAAGGGTTGTCCCATGTAGACAATGTTGCAGGAATCTGGGCTTGAGGCGATAGTAGCAAGGTCTGCATCTGAAAGAATCTCCAAACCAGAGTGAAGAGGTAATAAAATCTTTACACTGCTACCAAGTGGTTGCTTAACAGCACTTTCTGGATTGCTACCTTTAATACTTGATGGGCACAAACAAAACAATGAGAGGAGGAAGATAATGCTTGATGTATGCTCTGGCAACCACTTCACCTCAGTTTTATTTAGACTGAGCTTTCACCAGCCACCTCTCATCCATGCCTCGTTTCATCTGGACACTAAGCCAGTAGCTACAATTTACAGCTAATTTGGATTTAACTACACCTGCATGAGTTTTCCCAAACAAATACTCTTTTTGGAGTAGGACCATTATAAATAGGAGGTCCAATACTTGTGAGCATCTTTCATACGAGGAACTTAATGCAGTTTATGAAAGGCAAAACATACTAAATCAATGAAGCTAGCTACCAATTAGGTACTACTTTCAGTGGAAGAAATTAAAACAGTGATCAGCCTCATATCACAGTTTCTATTCCCAGCTCTGCCACTATCTTGTTAAGTTTAGAGTCCCACAGCTCTAGTCACATCATGCTCAGAGGGACAATAAGCACTTGACAGAGAAATATTAAGTTTAATAGTGATACCTTACAGCAAAGAAGAAGGTGAAGTAAACATGCCAAGCAGAAATTTAAGAGGGATGGATAATACTGAAGCCAAGAGACCTATAACTAAGCGGAGGAGGCATGATGGAGCACAAACATTGCTCTTGTGACAGAAGACAAACATTTCACATAGCAGATCATGTAGCAACACAAACCCCCACCTATCTCACTTGCATATTTATTATAATAAATATACACACTGTTTTCAGGCAAAATGTCTTGCACTTCACTAATTACATTTTTAAAATAGGCATTATCCAATTGTCTATTCATATAAAGGAAGCTAGAATAAGAGTGTGTCAGTGATATGCTAGAAGTTTTACTTCATACAAATAGCACGAACATTAATGAAATAGTTAATTTAGAAAGACCACACCATTTCAAACTGATAAGACTATTCACCCATCTTTACTTTTCAATGTAACTGACATTTATTTATCTATAGGAATGAGTCATGACAGCAAAAGCATTAAGCATATCAAAATCGACACACATTTAAGATCAAGCCAGAGTTCACCAAGTTAGTCAGAGGTACAGATATTGACTACCCCTCCCCCCAAAAAGTTCTTTAAAGGAGGCTGCATAGAAAATAGTGGCGAGATTGCTGAAGCGTTTATTTGCTCAAGGTAATGAGACAATCCAAAACAAACACCCTAAATAAATGCAAATACCTAATATTAATGCAACACTGTGGTTTAGACTATACACTCAGAAACTCAGTGTTATTACTTATCAGGAAACATAATTCTACTCCCTTACTTATATGTATTGTTTTGTACAGAAGTACCAAAATGTTAAGGCATTAAGATTGTGCAATGTTGCCAAGTTACAGTTGCTGTGGGAACCATACATTTGCATCTCTCAACTTAAATTTAAAATCAAGTCCCTAACACTGGAAGGGGGGGTTCGAGGGGGAGAGACCACAAGCAGGGGGAAAAATGTTGCATTAGTGCCTGTTCCATTAAAAAGAAATGTATTTGTCTATAAATTCATTATAATAAGTACTATACTACATCTGAACAGAGTTATTACTAGAATGCAGATTCAATTTTTGAACACTGTGGGTGCATTGCATAGCAACCAACAGAACATGCAATGTTTATTAGTAATGCCTTGGGCTTAGAAGTCATGCAGAGGGGCCCAGTCATGTTTCCGAAAGGTGGTTTTGTTTTGTTCGGTTTTTTGTTCGTTTGTTTTTTTGTGGGGGTGGGTGGGAAAGAGAGCTAAGACACTGAAGACCAAACAAAAAAAGTACTGTTACTGTACCTGCTGTCTTTTGGCTGCCATTATATTAAGCTTATCCACTTCTGGTTTGAGCGCTTTGTATTGTATTCCTAAATCCTGTTCAGTACCAGCATTTTTTAATTTCAGGATACCTTCTTCCACCTACAAGAGTGTAGATATTTTTACCATCCAGTGTACAATTTGCAGAAAAATCCAAAACATTTTATAGCTCACTTTAACAAGCAGTTATTTTTTAAACTTCAGGTATACCGTATATACTCGATCATAAGCCGGTTCATTTATAAGCTGCCCCTCCCCCCCAATATAGGTAAGTAAAAATGGGAAATTTGTATAACCCGTTCATAAGCCGACCCTATAATTCAGGGGTCAGCAAACTTTGGCTCCTGGGCCACCAGGATAAACCGCTGTTGAGCCAATATGGTTAGGTTTACCTCCGTGCCTGCGGACGCTCGAGATAAACAGTGTCCTGGCGCACCAGCTGCTTACCCTGATGGGTCGGGACAGCAACTGGTGGGGAAATTTTGGGGGGGGGGGTGGGGGTGCGGGGGGGGAGGAGCTGGGAGTCAGGGGAGTAACCCTTGTGATCACCCCCCACATGACCCCACCTCTAGGCCAGGATCCCCACACTCTCCCCATCCCATCCCATCCCTTCCCACCTTCTCTGGGGAGGATGTCTCTGGCCTGGCTGGAGCTGCTCCGGCAGGCTGGGCAACGCGGCCGCAGCCTGCTCTGGCAGGACAGACCGGGAGGCGCGGCCACAGCACGTTCCAGCGGGCTAGGCCGGGTGGCACAGCTGCAGCATGCTCCAGCGGGCCAGGCGGTGCGGCCACAGCCTGCTCTAGGGGGCGGGGCCAAGCAGCATGGCTGCAGCCTGCCAGCCCTGGAGCTGCAGCTGCTTCGGAGGATTGGGGGGGGAGAGCAGTGTGGCCAGAAGCAGAGAGACTCTGGCCCCGCCTCTTCCCTTCTGCCTCTGCTGACTATGCTGCCTCTCCTTGCTCCCGCTGTTGGGGGAAGGGGCTGTGTCCCACCTCTCCCTCTCTATACCCGTTCATAAGCCGACCCCCTTCTCTGGTGCTTCCTTTTACTAAAAAAAATTCGGCTTATGAACAAGTTTATATGGTACTTGAAAGCTAGTAGATTAAGTTGGGGCAGCTTTTTCTAATAGGTTTTTCCTCCAAGTAACATGCTTCCACATATTTTTCTGTATTTAAAAAGGCAATTCCAGAGCCCAGTATGATAAAGCAACATTAACACTATCATGTACATATGGTATTATGGGTCGGCACACCCATTAAAACACAGACCCAGTTTGCATTGGGAGCAACAGACTTGGGAGCAGAAGAACAGACTAGTTGTAGGGACAATACACACACACAAAAAAAAGACAGCTTGTCAGAATAAGCCTAACATATGTTGGACGATGGAAAATGAAATACTGAGTTATAGATGAAAAACCACACTTACAACTTTAAGCTGAACAAGTAGCTTGTAGACATCCGCCATGTCAGCCAAGATAAGCAGCCGGGTAACAGCAGACAGGAGAGCACGAGCTGCTCGTACCATGTTCCCACGTTTCACTGAGGAGCAGGGGTCATCTGCAAACTCTCCTGAGGCACTCTTCATTGAGTCACCTGCACAAATATCAGCAAGAATGTCTTTTCTCAGGTTTAGAATGTTACATACTTCATTTCAGAATTACACTTTGAAAGATAAGGAATTTATTTGAAGGAGTTCAATCTTAGAAAGTATCAGAAAGTGTTCACTCCTGGGTTACTACATCCAGCGATTACTATAAAACTGAAGGTACCTACACTTCACTCTTCCCAGTGTGGACAGGAAGCATTAAAAATGTCACTAAAACACTAGATTCATAGATTTTGCACCGAAGTTCAGTTTTAGCCTTTGTTTCAAATTAGAGGAACTAGAACCTTGGGATGGGGGGGGAAGGAATTACCAAAGTTTCAGCAAGCACGCTAAAAGCATCAGTAAAGAAGGTATGGCAAGGGTTCAACTTACAAAGCTTGCAGACATCACACAACATGAAGCCTCTAATCATGTTTAAATATGCTTACAATAACTTGAAGGGTTACAGTGAACTTAAATACACTTGTGGAAATTTCACTCCCTTAAATTGCTGCAACTTACAGCCAAGATTACTAAGCATTTGAATAAACAAAGTGAAGCAGAGAAGAGACATTTTTCTCTAATCTTTCAAATTCTGTGTGTATAGTCAGAGTCCCATGATTGCATGGGTTTTTCACACAGCAACAAGGGATAAAACATTTAAAATCCACACAAGGAAGTGTTGTTTTAAAAAGTAGAATATAATATCTGAAACTAGTTGGCTCGATTTCAAGTTGACTATCTCTGAAGAAAAACCCAGGGGGGAGGGGGAAATGGGGGATGGGGAGAGAAGGAGACAGGAGTATAAATTTCCTGGTTTCCAGTTAATGCTAGGGCTACATCTACAGTAAAGCACTTACATCGGTAAAGCTGCACCGATGTGGCTACGCCACTGTAACACTTGTGGTGGAGACACTCAAAGCTGACGGGAAAGATGCGGTAACTATGAAGGCAGGAGAAGCTGACATAATGTTGTCCGGACCTGCACTTAGGTCAGTATAACTTACAATGCTCAGTGGTGTGGATTATCCATACTCCTGAGCAACCAAAATTATACCAAAGTAACCTGTAGTGTAGACAAGGGTCTAGGTTTTGAAAAAAACAATTATATTAATTACCTGGAAACACAGAACTGAAGTTCCTCGAACAAAAACTTTAATTTGGCTCTTGTATCCCACCAACCTGTGCATCTTTCATCTACAAAGAAGAAAGGTACAGCAGGGCCTACCCCTAGGGAATTTCTGCAACAATCCCACTGGTGCCGCTATTAAATTCAGCTTCACCAAACTTAACATAGATCAAATGTAGTCTCCAGCAACTTCCAGTGTTTTTAACCACAATCTCTCAAACCTGTATATACAGACGCTCCCAGTCGTACATAAACGTTCCGTAATGCCTTGCGTAACTCAAATTTTGCATAAGTTGGGAACGTACAGTATACCCAACAATTACACCCAAAAAAACCAACCAAACCAAAAAAAACCCCACACCACTATTTCTAGCTTACGGAACTTTTTCTGTAAGTGCGGATTTGTATAAGTCGGATTTGCGTAACCCAGGGGGTGCCTGTATATCGTTCTAGAAAGAGGCTATGTGAGGCAGACTCCGTGCCCAAGCTTTCTACTTTTAAATACCTAGAATCCAAATACGACAGCTAGGTGCTTGGATCTCTCAGTCAAGACCCAGTGTGGCTATTTATAGTCCTTATAAAAATACCACCAGTTTAGGCAGTTGAAGTTTCCCACTGAAGCAAAAGGAGGTATCCTGGCTATTTTCAATGCTAGCCACAAAACATTGCCTCAAACAGAGCTGAAAATATTGTTACAAGTTAAACTGTGAATGGTCCTGAAGATGTACCACACGGCTTATTGTTAAAAAGTATCTCAATTCCTTTTCACAAGATAGCAGTAGAAAGTGTTTTTACTTTGTATGTTGGGTATTATATCATACTGATGTAAAGCTGCTTATAAACTACCTCCACAGGGAAGTTAAAACCCCAAAATGTTTTGATATTTACACCAAATATGTTACAAAGTGGTTCACAGTATAAAGATAAAAAAAATGATGCAAACAAGTTGCCTAGTGAAGACACAATTATACTGTGATGTTCCTACTGTACTTTTTGAACTGTAGTCTATGGATCTCACTTGTTAAGTAAAACAAATCTGAACTTCAGCTGGTATCTTATTACAATGCAAAGGCAAGAGCCACTTGCGTGATTAGACACCCTCATTCAGTTTGACTTCATGACCATTCAAAAGTGTGAAAGAGTCAGTTCGTCCACATTAAGAGGAGCAAGTAGTCTCATTTAGATTTCTCTCCCAGTGCTGCACACTACCTGCAGTGAAGTAGATCACAAAAATACTTTTGGAATCATGAGGGATAAAAGCAATTCTTGGATTGCTTAGTATTTCAAGATCTCAACTGTCCTCCTTTCCTCAAGCCCCTACATTTGCTTCAGTTCAGAGTCTGCCAGAGATTCTCAGACACTGGCCTGTGGATCACTGGGGATCAGCAGAAAATGTGCTAGTCTATTTCCAGGTGATAAATCATAAGACACCTAAAGGTGCTGTGAATTTTCCTAATATAGTATCACTCTTCCACATATTTAATTGTTATAACTGCCACAGAAAGAACATGTAATTGTGAATGTTCAGGGAGGTGTTTCTAAAACAGCCTCTACTTTTCATTACATTTGAGTTAAGAGAACAGTTACTTGGGAATCAAAAAGAGTATCAAACGTTGCTTCATTTAACACAAGTCATTTATAGAAAAGATATTCAGTACACATGAAAGCTTTATGACTCTATATAAAACTTCATTTTACATCAGTTAACTTTAACAAAGAACTCAGAATTCTCTGACATTTAGTTAAGACTGAGGATTTTTATTTTCTATATCCACAAAGTTTATAGGAGCTTTTATGAGGTTGACCAAGTGTGCTTTCCCCAGTGCACTAGTACTTCATATTGCCATATGTTGGTGCAGTCAGTTGATTTAGAACCACCATGGACATTCTGTTCCGTAGACTTAAAAATCAGTGACCGTTAGTCCCAGGGGTTGGATCCCAGAATGTACAATAAATGGTTAAACACTAAGCCAATTGCTAAACTTGGATGTATGAGGTGATCGGTACCCCAAAATTGGCATAGGCAGCTTTATAAACCATGTATGAATTTTGGGGAATGGTAGGGGACAGAAGAGCTTTAGAGATTGATAATCATACCTAAAATATAGGTCTGGCTTATTTTTGCAAATTTGAAGGGTGGGGGGTGAGGGGAGTGTTAAAAGTTTAGGGCGGGCAGAAAGGATGCTCAGTGCTCTTGCAACTGATTGTCTTCCAGAAGAACTTCAAAGTCTGGTGAACTCCTGGGTCCCACAGAAGTCTGTGACAAGTCTCAGACTTCAGTGGGGCCAGGATTTCAGCCCATGAGTCTAGGATACAGAACTTGGAATAGTATACTGAGTTTTCATAGTGAAGATGTAGCAATAGTAATCTAACCCAAATAAAATTTTCTCAGACAGGCGCTTAATCAGTTATTCCTTGACATGGCTACTAAAGAAAAAAAAAATCAAAAAAAAAATCAGTAACTGATAAGAGTTTAACTTGTAGGAATGTGTACAAAAAAAAAAGGTCTTGAGACTAAAAAGCTTAGAATTAGTTTAATTCTGAACTCTATGAAGTTCAGTAGTGTTATATCCTGGGAAGTGTCTCCAAATGGTAAGCAGTTCTTTGGAATTGAATCTTTAAAGTTAAACTTAGATATTTCATTAAATGATGTAAGGTTGGACATCTCTCTTGAATAAGTGGGCTATTAGATCTTACATCAAGGCATTCAACTGCCACCCCTGCTCACACCCACACAGAATGGTCCCAAGAATAGGATGCTGTCTGATCACTACGGAGAATGAGGTACCACTGAGTTCTTCACAACCATATTTAAGATGAGCAATATGCTGCTTTCAGTGTTTTGCCACATGAAGCATCTTGGAGTTTTTGTAAAACAAAACCAAATTCCAAATATCAAGCTACAGCTGCCCAGTTACAGCATTTCCAACTGGAGATGTTAAGGATAGAAATAAATCTAAAGTTGAGACATAGGAATTGCAAAACCGTATTGGATCACTGGTCAATCTAGTTTGGTATCCTGCAGCTCCAAAAGCAGCCAGTACAAACTTACTTCAAAAGGTGCAAAAACCCCTGCAGTAGGCAGCTAAGAAGTTTAAGCAAGCTAATTCTCTGTTTGTCTCCTCTGTCAAACACAATTGCTTCATCTAGTGTTTTTGTAAAGCAACAAGGAGGTAAAAACTGATTGGGGGGAGGGGTATATTTCTCACGGGACTGCCATACACACACACACACACACACACACACACACACACACTAGTTATGCCATCTTGACATAAGGGTTGCAGATTTAGCATTATTATTTAAATATCTAGGGAGACAAATTTCACCCAATTTGAGTCCTGCAGGGGACTTTCAGGGCTGGGAAGAAATCAGTCTCACTATGTATGCATGAAAGCATTAACTCTGACCTAAGCATATTTCAGTCTCAACATTACATATTTTAGTCTCAACATTAAGATGTGCAGTTACATTCAAGCTTTCATAGTATGGCCCACTAGCAAGACTTATTTTAGCCTTTATAGAAAAACTGAAGCGCTTAAGTAACAATCTCTTAAATGGAGGAAAAAAGTAGAGAGCAAGAACTTGTGTACGAGATCTACCAAATGTTAGGTGGTCTTTTTTTGAATGGATGGTATGGTATGGAAGAAATTTAAGAGCATGTATCTCTGATGCAAGTAAATGACAAAATCATTGGTTATCGTAAATCATAACAGTCAGGATTTCTTTCCTTTGCATTCATCCTGTGCCTGGTCTTTGAAGAAATATGCGCCATTCAAAATGCTCCTTTGGATTTCACTAAGTGTAGGCATAAAGTATAGTAAAGTGAATACATTTAAATGTACTTGTCAGAACCAAATATAGGATCCATACTTCTCC